TAAAAATGTCTGATCTGAAATTGTAGGGCAAGTAATTCCAAAACATAATGGAATTACATTTCCGATAAAATCAGATTTTTTTCAAAATTTTTAAAAAAAAACGCGTTCAAAAAGAAAGAAATAAAAAAATTTATATTTAGAAATTGACTCGAAATTAAAAAAAAAATAAATAAAGAAGATATACACGAAATAATTTAGAAAATCTAAATTAAAGTGTAACGCTATGAATTTTGAAACACGTTTAGGCCGCATTCATAGTGGGACCCGATACGACACGATTTAACAGCTGATCCATTTTTAAAATTTGTTTATGAGGTCAATTTTTTTCTCAGTTAAAATTATTATTTTCTTAGATTAATTATTAATGAATTAAATTAAAGATAAAAAAATCGATCAGCTGTTACGTGTCGGATCGGATCCCACTTTGAATGCGGCCTTATAAAATAGGAGAACTAGTAAAAAAAATAATATAGTACCGATAAATATACCAAATTATAAAGGGGAATATTTAATTATTTAAACTTTATCCCGTAGTTGTTTAAAAAAAATGTAGCTTGTAAACTGTAACTAGTTTTACCTTTTTCCGTTATTTTTTTTTAAAAAAAAAGTATTTAATTTTAATACAAAGCCTAGGACAAAAATACTAATTGTAACTGTAACTAGTTTACCTTTTTTTTATAAAATGTAACTTGTAGCTTTATAAACCGTTACTTTAAAAAAAAAAGTATCTAATTTTAATACAAATCTAGGACAAAAAAAATACTTGTAACTGTAACTAGTTTACCTTTTTTTATAGAATGTAACTTGTAGCTTTATAAACCGTTACTTTTTTTAAAAAAAAAGTATCTAATTTTAATACAAAGCTAGGACAAAAAAAATACTTGTAACTGTAACTAGTTTACATTTTTTTTTAAGAATGTAACTTGTAGCTTTATAAACCGTTACTTTTTTTTAAGAAAAAAGTATTTAATTTTAATACAAAGCCTAGGACAAAAAAAATACTTGTAACTGTAACTAGTTTACCCTTTTTTTATAGAATGTAACTTGTAGCTTTATAAACCGTTACTTTTTTTTTAAAAAAAAGTATCTAATTTTAATACAAATCTAGGACAAAAAAATACTTGTAACTGTAATTAGTTTACCCTTTTTTTATAGAATGTAACTTGTAGCTTTATAAACCGTTACTTTTTTTTAAAAAAAGTATCAGGACAAAAAAATACTTGTAACTGTAACTAGTTTACCCTTTTTTTATAGAATGTAACTTGTAGCTTTATAAACCGTTACTTTTTTTAAAAAAAGTATCTAATTTTAATACAAATCTAGGACAAAAAAATACTTGTAACTGTAACTAGTTTACCTTTTTTTTAAGAATGTAACTTGTAGCTTTATAAACCGTTACTTTTTTAAAAAAAAAGGAAGTATCTAATTTTAATACAAAGTCTTGGACAAAAAAAATACTTGTAACTGTAATTAGTTTACCCTTTTTTTTATACAATGTAACTTGTAGCTTTATAAACCGTTAATTTTTTTTAAGAAAAAAGTATCTAATTTTAATACAAATCTAGGACAAAAAAATACTTGTAACTGTAACTAGTTTACCTTTTTTTATAGAATGTAACTTGTAGCTTTATAATCCGTTACTTTTTTTAAAAAAAAGTATCTAATTTTAATACAAAGCTAGGACAAAAAAATACTTGTAACTGTAACTAGTTTACATTTTTTTTTAAGAATGTAACTTGTAGCTTTATAAACCGTTACTTTTTTTTAAGAAAAAAGTATTTAATTTTAATACAAAGCCTAGGACAAAAAAAATACATGTAACTGTAACTAGTTTACATTTTTTTTTAAGAATGTAACTTGTAGCTTTATAAACCGTTACTTTTTTTAAGAAAAAAGTATCTAATTTTAATACAAATCTAGGACAAAAAAATACTTGTAACTGTAACTAGTTTACCCTTTTTTTATAGAATGTAACTTGTAGCTTTGTAAACCGTTACCATTTTTAAAAAAAAGTATCTAATTTTAATACAAATCTAGGACAAAAAAAATACTTGTAACTGTAACTAGTTTACCCTTTTTTTTATAGAATGTAACTTGTAGCTTTATAAACCGTTACTTTTTTTTAAAAAAAAGTATCTAATTTTAATACAAATCTAGGACAAAAAAATACTTGTAACTGTAACTAGTTTACCTTTTTTTTATAGAATGTAACTTGTAGCTTTATAAACCGTTACTTTTTTTAAAAAAAAGTATCTAATTTTAATACAAGGCTAGGACAAAAATATTAATTTATAAATATCGAGATTGGAGAGGATTGTGAATATAAGAAGCCAATGGGAAGAGAACCAAACATTTTGATCGATTTTATCGATTAATGTCGGAGAAGAAAAAAAATTAAGATTAATGTCATTTTAATGGATTTCAGGGGGAAAATCTTGTAATATTTTTTTAAAAAAAAACAAAATAATAATATGTCAGCGTTAATAAATTATTTAATTTGCATAAAGTTTTAATATAAAAAACGTAAATAAATAGTTTAATAATAAAGAAATTTTAAAAAATGGATTCCAAACATTATTTTTTTTTTTGCTAAGTAGCGGGCGTAATGAGAAGCCCGGGGTCGAAACGGCCCGATTTAGCAAGATAATATGTTAATTTTTAAGCCTCCTAGAATTTGGGTAAAATAGATGTGCTAACCTATTCTGCCCCATCTATTAGCAAAATCTTCAGGGAGTTTTCGTTTATAATCTTAATCGAAATACACCACTAGTAAAGAAGATTAAAGGCGTTTCTTAATTTTTTTTTTCCTTCCCCCTTATTTTTTATAATTTTATGAGGTTAAAAATTTATAGTTTGAATATATATATTTTTTAAATTTTCTTGAATAACAACAGGAAGGAATTCTTTAGATTTTAACTCATTCAAACGATATTGTATTAAAATGGTTTTGCAAAATGATTTCTTCAGAAATCTAATGATATTGAATTCACTTTTAATCCCTGGAAGAAATTGTAATAAACTCTGTGTAGGCTAATTATCTTAAATTCTAAGCTTTATGTCCCAATGTTTAAATTTCTGTTTCAAAATCCTTGAAGTTTTAAAAAAAATTGCTAAAAAATTTGCCGATAACTTATTTGACAAGTTATTAATCTTTTTAAAAACGATTAGGTACGAAACACGGGGTTAGTGTTAGACATTTTCAGAAGCCTTTTTCGAAGGAAAGTGCCCTGAAAAAATAGAGAACTATAATTAAAAAAAAAATTGAGTAGATAAAGAGTTTAGGAAAAGGTGTTATTGGGTCATCCAAGAAAAGAGTAGATGCTTAGAAAGTTAAAATCTAAAGAGAGATCCTCCTAAATGAAAACAATCTTCCTGGCATCACTGCCCATTCCTGTACTTTGTTCATTCTTGGGACTTTTTGTTTAAAAAAAAACTATTATTTATATTGCAGGCATGACACAAATCGTCAAATTATTTCTAATATTTAAAATTTTAGATAAAATTTGCAATAGAAAATCTATTCTATTTACTAAGTGAGTTAAACTTGAGAAGCTCTAACCATTCTTCTATAGATAGGCTCTAAGACAAGAATTTTTTATCTTTAGATAGTAAAAATTTGTTGGTCTCTTGATAATTTCGGGTAACTCCCTTAAATTTAACCAAAATTTTTAAGTTCCCAATCAAATTCATACTTTAACTATACAAATATGGCTAAGAGAAGTAAGAAGTCTAGACAAATTGAGCAAGTCTAAGTTGGGCAAAATTTTTTCTAAGACATTCAGTTTAATGTAGACTTTGTCTTTTAACTAATTTCACTAATTTCAACATGTCTTTGTGAAAAAATTTTATTTTTTTTATTTAAATTAATTGTATAAACGAAAATTATATTTTTATTTTTAATTCAAGAAATATAAAAATATAAATTTAAAATAAAAGAGAAAAAATATTCAATTTAAAAAATTAAATATATAAATAAAAAAGAGGGGGGGGGGTTGGAAGGAAAGATACTGGAAGAATAGAATGTAATAAGAAATATTTGCCAAGAAAAATAAGGAAGATTTGATCTGATGGATTCGATCTTTTCCAGGGATCCATATCTCTAGCTTTCCGAATTAGATTTGAACTTTTTGCTAAATTAGGTTTTTAGAATCTTAACAGAAAACTGGGCTTAAAGATAAAAAACATTTCCGGTTGTAGGAAAAGAAAGGAATTATGGTAATACCGACATTCCCATAAAGGGAGTTAAGCAAACACAACACAAATAAATATATTAATTCATGAGTCTTCTATAGGCAAAAAAAATAGTATAGGCGTTAGCAAAGGATTTAATACCTAACATTAATGATATCAATCCATTCGTCAAGGTATAATAAATTTTTAGATTTGAATCATATTTATTTACAGATATAACTTACATGAAAGAAATTAAGCTTAAAATCAGCCATCACCCACCTTTAAAGTAATTAAATTATACTGTAGTTCTCAGGTATAGGCTTTTTCTTTGTCCCACTCCTTATAAATTAAAGCCTATAGAGGTAAGCAACATTTTTCTAAATGTTGTGCCTACAAGTACGTGCGGCTTGCCCACAAACGTGTGGAGGGCTCCTCATATTTTTATTTTTATACCCAAATTAAATTGTTCCAATTAGATGGAAATGAGGAAAACCTAGCGTAGCTCTGTTGAATCTTCAACGTTAGAGGGCAAAAGCGCTATATATCACGTATCACGTAATAAATTTTTAAAATCAACGATATTGCACTTAGCGGTTATTATTCACGCGATGTTGCATTCACTGTAATGCTTTGTCGGTAATAAATCCGCTCGTAATGCGTTTAGCGATTCTGGCTTTAGATTACCGGAAATACATTCACCCAAAAAGTATGAACTGAATATAGGGGAGGGGGGAATATAATCCAATCAAGAATTGACTAAAAAAATATAAAAAATTAATAATAAACTAGAAATTCGCACTGAATAAATAAATAAATATTTTTTTTACCTTTTCAATCCAAGTGGAACAATATGCCTCGGTAAAATGTATTTCTCTGGTTGGCGTCCAATCAAAATATATATTTCATATGTTACAAAAAAACTTTTATTTCATGTTTTTTTTTTCAAAATAAAAATTTTTGAAAGTAAATTTATTTTTGCGTTTTTGGATATACAGTCTTGTTGGAAAGAATTGTATTATTTTTTGTTAAATCATAAATTTGGTTTTCAAGCAAAGATACAAAATTTTTTTTTTTTATTAATTATCATTTTTATTAAACTTTTGGCATAGGTATTTTTTATTTAATTTTGATATGATAGAAACTTTAATAAAAATAATATATTAATGTTTTATTTACTTTGACAAAATATATGATGTGAATTTTTTTATATAAGAATTCAAAACGTTTTCATTAAGGCAATTTTTTTTTATTTGAATATGAAAATAAAAAGTTTTAAATTATTGAACTTGAAATTAATATTATTTACCTATTTATTTATATTAATTATATTATATATATTATTTTTTTGAAATATTTTGTCTCGAAATATTATTATTTCTTATTTTCTTTTAATTTTATCGATTCGATATTTCCCCCATCATTCAAGCAAGCCTTTCCTTATCCTTAAATATAGGAATTCTATATTTTTATAATTATTTTTTCCATTCCCAACACATCTTATCCTAATCTTAAAGTTATAAAAATAAAATTTTTTAAATATTTATAATATTCTAAAATAAATTTTTTAAATAAATATAAAAATATAATCAACTAATTTGGTGGAAAGAGATTTTAAAAAAATATCTATATTTGATTTGGAATGCCGCCAAGAATATCTGTATAATTAAATAAATATCAGTTCCTGATTAGATAAAAAAAAAAATTCAATTTTAGTCTTTTGCCTCTAATTGTTTTTTGAAAACTTGCTCTTTTTTTGGGTCCGGCTCAGATTTATTTTATAACATGACTAGTGTTGTTAAAACAGCTGGATTTGAGGGCGATTTTTAAAAAAAATGGTTATAACTCAATATTTTAGCCAGAAAAATATCGCCTAAACCTTAGAGATTTCGATATATAGGTTGTCCAGCGAGTAAAATCTTTAGGCTTGAGTTAAAGTCTTCTAGATAAAATATTGAGCTGGCGTTTTTGCCAGGTTTTTTTTCTTCTTCTTTTTTTCGTGTAAATTTAAAAAAAGAAATTTAAAATAAAAACAACCAATAAAAATAAATGTGTACAATTTATAAAATCATTCTCCATTATTCTACTTTTTCCAAAGATCTGCATTATTTCGTCTCAGAAAATTTTATTTTTCACCTTATACTAATCGCTCGAGTTAAGAATTTTTGACGAATTTCGGATATATTTTTTTATTAAAATATAAAGACTATTTTTCCTTGGCGATTCATTTATTTAAACTGAACATTTAAGTTTTACAGCTGAAAAAAATTGGGACTTTTTTAATTTTTTTTATCTGAGCATTTAAGAAATTATTCTTAGCATTTAAGTAATTTCCTTCTTTTTTTGTTTATCTTGAGAGTTTAGTATTTATTCTGAGTATGAGAGGAATTAAATAGAAGCCATGAAAAAAAAACATTTAGGCAACTGATTTCTATTGTGTATTAGTCAAGCTCTTAGACCCTAAAAAAAATATAATTTAGCTTCTAAGTTGAGTCTCAAGCGTGAAGATTGATTAGAATATTTCTGGATAAAAATTTGGCTACTACGCTGTTCTATAGTTGACTAAAGATAGTTAATTTAACAACACTACCACTGACACTCTTATATGTTATTCTCTAAAATACTGACATGGCCGAGATTTGATTTGAGTCCGATATATTAATAATATACGTATATAATTTACCATCAAGCATAATATTTAATGAAAATCAATTTTATCGGTAATTTATTAAATATAGATTATAACATAATGGCAAAAATTGATTGGCCTTAGTTATTCAATTGTCAAATTGAAGATTATATACAAAATTTCCTATTATATAAATATAATAATAATGCTATATTTCCATAGTTGTTTCTGTGGTGCCATTATTTATTATCTTATTTTTTTTTAAGTATATAGAACCAAAAACAAAAAAAAAAGAAGAAGAAATTTAATGGATTTGTCATATTGTATATTAAAGCTAAAGCCAACGAAAGTTATTTAGATGTGATGGTTTATTAAATTGAATTGAGATATATAAATATATATATATATATCATTATACATATCAGAAAATGATATCAAAGATTAGAAATGTCATAAAAAAAAGTAATACATCATTCAATTACTTATTATTTGAGAATAATTACAAGTCTAAAAATTTTATTTTCAATGGTATTGATTCGAGCATTTAATTTTTCTTTTTTTAATGTGGTTTATCCAATGAGAATGACGTATATAATACCTAGACTGAGCATTCATTCATTAAAATGCATTTTTTTAAGCGTCGTTAAAAGCAAATCAGCTGGACCCGCCATTTTTGGTAACACGTCTAGTAATAATTCTCGTAATGATTAATGTAACCAAGATGGCGTCTCCAGCTGATTTTCATTGATGTACACTTTTAATGAATGAACCCTCGGTCTAGGTATTATATATGTCATTGGGTTTATCTTAAAAATTGTACAGCTCGATATTTCTGTTTTTCCATACGCAAAACTCAATCCTATGAAATTTTATATTTTACTTAAGAGCAGGGGGGGGGGGGTGGGTTCGAACCGAGCCCGGAGAAGAAAACCAGGGTTTTGGGAAAATAATCTGAACCCGAACCGAATTCACGAATTTTATTTGAACCCGGGTTCAACCGGGTTCGGGTTCAACCGGGTTCGGGTTCAGTGTATTATTTAAATTAATATGAGATATTTGTATATAATCGTAAATACACAAATATTAATAATTTACTTGGCATTTTATGATATTTTCAAATTTCCAATTAAGTTGCAGTGTTAATAAATTTTAAACAACTTAATTCATCTACTCCATTTTTAAATTTTTTTTTAAAATTTATTCACAAAGATTCCTATTGGATTGTTAATAAATTTTAAACAATCAAATTCATTTATGCCATTTATTTTTAATTTTTAACTTATTATTAAAGATTATTAATTGGAGAAAAATGAAAGTGAACAAAGTCAAAGTAAAAAAAATTATAATATTGGATATTAAGAGGCTCCTAGCCTAATTAAAAAGATTGGCAGAACCTTAAGAACAAAATCAGGAGACCCAAAAGAAGGCATCTACTTAAGTCAACGCATAGGAATTCGGATTATAAAATCTAATTTCACATGCTTCATAGGTTCATTCCCCTAACCCGATTAATCTAGATTTTCTTCTTCTTCCCTAAATTATTTAAAATCCCCCCCCCCTTCTTTCTCGTAAAATCATTTGCACTAATTATATTTCCATTATTATACTTTGTATTATAAAGTCGTTGGTTGTTAAATTTTCTTAAAATTTCTAGAATCGTTAAATTATATATTTTTCTTAAATTCCGTTATGTACAACAAAAATTACTTATATTTTATTGTAATTACAGCATTTTTTAAAAAAAAATATATATGTATATTTACGCGAAATTAAATATTTTTATATATTAGATTTAATATTATTTTTAAGTTGTACATGCAAACTATTTGTATTTAAAGGAAGTTTTGTTTTAATTTTTATGTATAAAATTAGAATAAAATGAAATTTAAAGAAATACGTCTTAAATAAAATTTTTTTTAAATTTATGCATTGCTATGCTTTGTATTTTTAACTATATTTTGCCTATAAATAAAGATAAAAAAATTTCTTTTTTATATCAAATTTGTTGTCTATTTTTTTTTAAATTATGATTTTTTAAATATAAAATATTTTTTTTTAAAAAATAAAAATTCTTAAACCCAGCTGAACCGGAAACCAAACCCGAGTTCAAAATAATTTCCCGAACCCGAACCGGACCCTTGCAAAAATTTTGCCGGGTTCGCATCTCTGCTTAAGAGTAATAATACCCTGGCCAGGCCAAGAAAATCAAGTTTGGCGCTACGCCAATGGCCTTTTATTTATTTTTTTTGAGTAGCGGGTCAATAACGACTCTACCTTTTTTTTCTCATTACGCTAAATAAAGATGCCATTATTTTCTTTTAGCGTAAGTAACTAAAACTAAAATCCGTTACTTATATAGCTACTTTAAAAAAAAAAATATAAAGGTTTAGACATGTATTTTCGAAACCTCGAGGCTTAGGCAAATATTTTTCTGGCTAAAATATTGAGTCAGCCGTTTTGAAAAATCGGTTCAAAACCGTTTGACAACACTAACGTTTAGGATTCTAAATATTCGAAGGAGTGACCCGGGTAAAATTCGTCTCCATCGTAATAAATCGGTTTTTTTTACTATCCATTTTAACTTTTATCACAAAATATTTTTTCCAAGCCTTTCAGAAAATTTCTCAAGTTATAGCTCCCAATTATTCTTTTGTCCTTACCAACGACGTATAATAATACCTAGACTGACGATGCGTTCATTAAAAGCGTAACATCAATAAAAACAGCTGGGGGACGCCATTTTGATTACCCGTATCAATAATTTAAAAACGAGAGGGCCAATTTATTCCTATGTCCTGACGCGAACTTTATTAAAGAATTGCCCTGATCATGGAGATAACCAAGAAAAGCAAGTTATCAATGTAACAGTAGTTTTTAAAATGGCGGCTACAGCTGATTCGCATTCAACGACGCCTATCAAACGCATTATTATGAATGTATCGTCATTCAAGGTATTATTGTATGTCATCGATTTCCTTACCCAATAAAAGCGTATCCTTGGCATTATTTAATTTTTTCTTCCTATAAATAATTTTATTTTTCTGAAACCATTTACAAAATCTGTTTTCTCAAAATTATAATAATTACTGGATTATTAGTCATTAAATTGTTATTTTTTTCTGACGAAAAAATTGACAATACTCATATTTAAAAATTATTTAAAAAATATAATTTGTAATGTGAAAAAAATGGTAGCTAAAGTCAAAAAAAAAATCATGGCTATTCTATGGATATAAAATCAAATACAAATTATACAAAGAAATTCCAGTATTTACCAGAGTTGCTAAAGTAACGCGATACTTTAAAAAAATTATCGATAGAGAGTAACTAAGCATTGCACTATTTCGTCGTTAAATTATAATGTTGAAATTTATATTCTTAAAAAAATCTTCATTT